CATCCCTCAGAGCCACTTCGATCCAGGGTGACGGCGGAAGGCCGTGCAGCTTATTTAAGAGATCCAGGGAGTGTCAGGCGAGCCGCGGCCCACGGACGGCCGAAAGGAACGCCCGGCGGTGAGACATCTACAGTAAGGCCAGAGGCCACGAGTCCACAGCGGGGGGGGGCAGTGGACGGCATTGCCGATGCGCGCACCTGAATCCAAAGGCAGGAGGCGCGCACCTCTCCTGGAGGGCGGCGGAGCGCTGCGATTGAGAGGCCCACGGCGAGGCCTGGTGCAGCGCCAGCTGGAAATTACTTAGTGAAACCGACGGCGAGGGGCGGGAGAGCCTTGCGGCGAGAGGGCTGCGGCCACCAAGGGAGAAAGGCAGCGATGCCAGTGGCGCGTTGGTCTGCAGGATGCGCGGTGTCGCGCAGAGAGCAGATGGCATTACTGAACGGCACCCCGAGGCACAAGGGCGAGTGAGAGCGCCGCCCAGGGCAGGGGCGCGGTACCCCAGGTTGAAGGAGAGAGCGGCGGAGGGCCGCGGTAGCGCGTCGTAAGGCGTCGGCGGTGGCGCGGGCAATGGGGGCGGGGAAGGGGCGGAGAGTGAGCTCAGTCTCCCCAACGGAATCTCTTTTCATCCCGATCGTCCCGCTCATCAGGGCGACCTCCGCCGCGTTTGCCACCCGTCTGCCGGTGATCTTCCCGCCATCCATCGCGCAACTCGCCCTGCCAACTGCCCCAGGTGCCCCAGGAACTTATCGCACGGTCGCGCCAGCCCGTGTGGTGATAGCCGCCTTTGCCCCTGTCATCTGTCTGGGAGTGACGCTGGTGGTTGGCTCTTATCCTATCCCAGTCGATGTCATAGCCCAACCTCGTGTTCATCTCGTAGGCATCGTACCCGCAGTCCTTCCAGGCCTCTAGGAAATTGTTGATGCCCGAGGGCGAGTGTAGTTTCGGGTCGGATTTGGGCGCCCTCCATGTAGGGAGCAGGGTACGCTGCGTGTTCGCTGTCCACAGCGCGCAAAAGACTGCCCCCAGCTCCGACTGAAGCCTGGATATGCGTCTGGCTGGTGTCTCGTCGGGACGTTCGAGTTCGACAGTGCCCAGCCTGACTTTGTACATTGGGCCGCCTCCGTCAGGGCAGGACAACAGGTTGAGCGCGTCCCGCCCCGATGAACCAGTATGGCGAGGGTGATAGGGCCTCTGTCCAGGGGGCATCGGGGTGGGCGCAGGAGAGCGCTCGTGCCGCGAGCCACCACCGTCGCTGGCCCTCTCGCTGGCCCTCTCGTGCCCCGCGGGGTCTCGGGCTGGACCCCTTCTGCGGTCGGCGTAGGGCGTTTGCTCTGTAGCTGAGGTCGCGGCATCCTCGCGGCCGGTGTCAGAGCTGGCCGCCGACGGGCTTCGCTGCGGCGCATCGCCGCCTGAGCGATTGTCATCATCTTCCTGGGCCGACTCTGAGCCCGTGGGAGGACGGGCGGGTTCCACTTCTCCGTAATCGGGCCCCATCTTGGCAAGGGGGATCCCGTCTTCCGCGCCTTCGCCGTTGTCGTAGTCGGGCGGGTCATAGTGGCCCATGCGCGAGTCGTTGCCCACTGCGCCCTGGGACCTGTTTGTGTCGGCCGCCATGGGAGTGTCTGGCCTGCCGTCGCTCACGCCAGTTGGTGGGGACTCCGCCAAGGAGGTGATGGGTGTTGGCTCTGCCGCCGCACCGGAGCTGCCTGTGGCGCTGGGTCCAGGGGGATTGCTTGCTCCGACTTTGGTGAATTGGTCCTGGGCCTTGGCGCCCACGCCAAGCCAAGGGAGAGAATCCCCGATGTCCACGGGCGCCTCGAACCCAATCTGGCTGCTGAGCGGGGGGAGGGCAGGAGGTTCTTCTGGATACAGCGATCGGAAGTCGCGATCCAGGATGCGATCCAGGGTGGCCGGGCCTATGTTCCAGATCGGGACCAGGCAGCGTCGGCAGCACCACGTAGCGTTCCATTGGCGCCCCCACCAGGCCAGGGCACGCTTGTCGATGGGGGGCAGCCCGTCTTGCTCGGGAACGCCTATACCTTCCGCCGGCTTCCAAATGAAGCAACCCAGGGTTCCAGATAAGGAGCGGGGCCCCTCGGGGGCAGGTGTCACACCGCGCAGAGTAGGTCTGCGTCTGGGCGGCTTTGATGCCGAAGCGCTCATCCCGAATCCGGAGGATCGGAATGGTGGTATTGGCACACTCAGGAATCTTCGTGCCCGTCGGCTCCATGAAGAGATCAGCTAACCTCCTCGTGTCCGCCAGGGGGTTGCACCCGTAGCCGAGCGGAAGGTGCCCCAGGGAAGGGAGGGCGCGCGCCCTGTCGTTGCTGGTTCCCGACATCTGCTGCTCATGTTCCCTGACTCTGTCGGCGAGCTTCGTTCCAGCAGGCGCGGGGAGGCCATTGCCCTCGAGGTGGCGTATCCAGCAGACAGCGCAGTGCCACCCCATGTTGGCACCGCTGATGTATGCCTGAGGTCTATTCTGAGCGACCATCTGGCGCGTGCTGTCGGAGATCCAGGTACCCTCGGCGGCAGTCAGATGGTCCTTTCCGCACCTGTCGCACGTGTATCTGTTATTCTTCTTCTCGAGCACGAGCCTCTCATCGGGGATGAAAGGAGGGCCCAGTCTGGCGCCAGGGGCCAGAGCCGGCGGTGGAGGGGCATTGAGGTCGGTCTGGGACAGGGCAAGCCCGCCGCCGATGTAGGAAAGACCCGCGACCCTGTCGTTGGGACCGAGGCAGGCGTCGGACTCCGCCAGCGCGACGTGTAGCGCACACACTGAGCAGCCGTGCGCATCCAGGCAGGTCAGAGTTGCTGCCGGGACGATCCGCTCGAGGACGAGCATCGGTGCTTCTAGCTGGAAGTCTTGCCTGTCCATCTCGCTCCAGGTCTGCGGGCAGCCGGCTTCCTGCGCAGCCGGGTGGTGATGCGCCAATGCCGCGAGCTTGGAGATGTGAGGTAGCACCGCTTCGATGCGACCGTGCAAGTCAGCCAGGTCTTCCAGGGTGAGGCTCCAGGTACGAGCGAACTGGCGTCGGAAGTCCTGGTGGACCTCTTGCCAGGGGACGCAAAACCCCAGAATGGCCTCGATGACGTCCCGGGCCTGCTCTGCATGAGAGAAAGGCCACAGAAACACTCGTGGTTCACGGAGCATGAGCATCATGACAACCAGAAGCGAGCGTGCCTTGCAGGAATCCATGGTCTGACCGTCGGTGTCTATGGTTCCCAGACGGAACTCTTCCATCGAGGAGCCTCATCCTCAGAGGATGTCTCCCAACCCGGCCATTCCAGGGTGCCTCCTGTGTCTGCAGCAGTCCTTGGTAGCGGAGCTCCAAGCCTTGGGGACCTGACGGAAGAGCCCTTTGGGGGTGCACTGGCGGCGCTTCCAGAGTGTCACACGCCTACCGCTGGCGCGGGGCAACGGAGGAAGGGAGTCGTCGGGCACGGCGTAGCTCGCGTCCCCCCAGGGGGTGCCTAGGCCGAGCGACCAGACCATTGCTGCCCACAGCGTGTTGTAGACCAGATTTGTCGCATCGAGCCCCAGAGACATGTCAAACAAGAAGCCCAGGTGCGGCCAAGCCTTGCGGTCGAGCATGCCCGGCTGCCGCGGTGTGTTGGCCAGCGTGAATTCGTGGTGGTGCAGCCCGGACATAAGGTAGATGAGCACATGGAAGGCAGGCGTCGAGAGGATATCGTGGAGCCCTCCCGAGATTAGCTTGCCCAGGGTGTCCCAGTCGAAACTAACCTCCAGGGGTGCGTTATAACGCTCGGCGAAACCGGTGGCCTGGGCATCGCGCGCTTTCTTCTTGGCGACGTCCAGTTCGTTCTGCCCGTTCTCTCCCTTTGCGACACAGCCCCAGGCGACGGACGAGGGTATCCATGCGGCAAGGTCCTTGAGTGGGTCGAAGCTCTCGTCGATGTCCAGGGAAAGCTTGCGGCGCACAGGGGAGTGGCCTCGAAACTGGACCCAGAGGCGAGTCAATCGCCCGTACTCTGAGAGTACGCGAAGCTGGGACTAGGTGGCGTTGCCAAACATGCGACCGTCTCCCAGGATCAGGATGTTCCGCTTAGCCCTGGTAATTGCCACGTTCAGGCGCTTGGCGTCATCGACGAAACCCCAGTTGTAGCTCGTTGCTCCGGGTAGTTAACACTATTACGATGTCCGCCCCGCCTCCCTGGCTGGAGTCGATTGTCGTGAGTTTGAACGCCCCCGTGCTCATATGCTCGCCCGCAACCTGTCGTAGTCCAGGGAAGTTGGAGCTGATGGTAGTGTTGGCATTATCGTCCTCTCGGAACACTTGTTGCCAGCGCTGAGTGTCCACCCTGTGGCCTTGCGGGGCTTGTCCAAGGCCAGGTGTGTCCTGTACACCACGTCCAGGACCGTTTTTCCCCTTGCCGGGCTGCCCTTTCGTGCCTCCTCTAGTGTTGCTGGTGGGGATACGCGAAGCGTCAAGAATTCCTCCCTTGCCTCCCCCCTCCTCCTCCTCCTCCTCCTCCTCCTTGGCGCGCGCCCGTGGCACGGGCGCCCCCCCCGCTGCGTGGGCCCAGGATGGTGGACGGGCGGGTTGGATTGAGACGGATGATGTGGGGGCGGGTGAGGTCGGTCTGGGCGGCCTTGCATTCCAGTCGCCGCAAGCTACCCCGTGTAGGGCACACACACACACACATCTCTCTCTCTCTCTTTCTTTCTCTCTCTCTCTCTCTCTTTCTCTCTTTCTCTCTCTCTCTCTCTCTCTTGTTTGTCTATGTGTGTCTCTCTCTCTCTTTTTCTCTCAATCTCTCAATCTCTCTCTCTCTCCCTCTCCCTCCCTCAAAAATACAGCTACTAGTTTGACTCCTCCCCAGGGGCGACCTCCCCTTGGGGGGGACGTGGCAGCATCCGCCTGAATCCCAATGCCGTCAGGTCGCTCGCGGAGAGACGAAGAGGAGGAGGAGGAGGAGGAGGACGAGGAGCGCTTCAAGCAGGCCCGCGGCGGCCGCCGCGGGGCGCAGGGCGGCGCCTCGTGGACGCCCGGGGGGACGCCTGCGGGGTGCGCTGGCGAGCACCGTCCCCCACCCCCGAGCGCAAAGCGGCGCGCCAGTCGCCGTCGTCGTCGTCGTCGCCGTCGTCGTCGTCGTCGTCGTCTCCTCCCTCCCCTCCTCTCTCCGCCTCCCCCCTCCTCTCTCCTCCTACTCCCTCCCCTCATCCCTCCGCCCCCCCCCCTCTTCGCCCATCTTCTCTCTTCCCGCTCCCGTCCCACAGCCCCCTCCCCCTTCTGGAAACTGCGCCGCCCGCCTCTGCCCCTTGCCCATCCTGGCCCGATGGCGA